GAAAGAACGGTGTTGACATCTTCAACTATAATTTTAGATTTGTCTATTTCTCTTTTCAGCTTTTACTTCATATATTTTTCAGCTCTGTTATTTGGTTCATTCACATTTAGGACTGCTTTGTCTTCTTGGTGGATTGATCCTTTTATCATATTATACTGCCCACTGTGTTTCTGGTAATTTTCTTTGTTCTGAAGTCTACTTTATCTGAAATTAATATAGTCACTTCTTTCAAATAATGTGTGCCAGATATATTTTTTCATGCTTTACTTTCAACCTGCCTAAATCACTATACCGAAAGTTTCTTGTAAACAATATATAGTTGGGTTATGTATTGAATCCACTTGCCAATCTCTCTTTCAATCTGTATATTTAGACCATTTACATTTAATGTAGTTATTGATAAGTTAGAGTTTGAAACTATCACTTTATTTTTTGTATTCCTTTTTTTCTCTGATTTTTGCTTCTCTGTTTACTTTTACCTACCCTCTTGTGGGTTACTTAACATTTTTAAAATTCTATTTTGATCTATCTATAGTGTTTTTGAGTGACTTTTCCTTGTATAGCTTTTTTAGTCATTGCTCCAGATATTACATTATATATACACATAACTTAATCATAGTCTATTGGTATTGTTATTTTCCAGTTAGAATAAAGCATAGAAACCTTATCTCCCTTTCTATCTGTTTACCTTCCTTTGCTTATAATTGTTTTAAATATTTCTTCTATGCACATTTAGAATCACATCAGACAATGTTATAATTTTAGCATCAGCCATCAAATACAATGAAAAGCTCAGGAGGATAAAGAATGTCTACTATATTCAGCCATAGTTTTTGTTTACTATGTTCTTTCTTCCTTCCCTGGTGTTTGTTCCAAGTCCTTTTTTCTAATCATTCATTTTTGTTCAGAGAATTTTCTTTAGCCATCTTTTTAGGATAAGACTGTGAGTGACAAATTCTCTTAGCTTTCCTTCATCTTAGAATGTCTTGATTTTTCCTTCATTCTTGAAGGATAATTTCATTGGATATAGAGTTCTTGGTATAATTCTTTCCTTTTAGCAGTTGAAAAATACTGTGTTCATTCCTTCTTGTCTCTATGGTTTCTGATGAGAAATTCACTGTCATTGCAGGTTGTTTTCCCCTATATATAACACATTGTTTCTTTCTCATTGCTTTCAAGATTTTTTCTTTTCCTTTAGTTTTGAAAACTTTGACTATTATATTACGTGCTTTGGTTTGGATTTCCTTGGTTTGGGATTCTCTCTGCTTCCAGGACTTTGATGACATGAAGGTTAGATCTCCAGTTATAGTCCCACAAGTCCCTCAGGCTCTATTTTTTTTCCTCAGTCTATTGTCTCTGTTGCTCAGACTGAGTAAATTGCATTTTTGTATCTTCAGGTTCACTGGCTCTTTCCACTATCTCCTCTCCATTCAGTTTGTGAGCCATCCATCGAACTTTTATTTCAGTTACTGCATTTTTCAGTTCTAAAATTTTTGTTTGGTTCCTCTTTTTAGGTTGTGTTTCTTTACTAAGACTTTCTATTTCTCTGCTAAGGCTTTCTATTTTTTTTTCTCATTGTTTCAAGTGTGCTCATTAGAGTGTTGTTTTTTTTTTTGAAGGCCACTTAAAAATCTTTGTCAGATAATTCTAACATCTCTGTCATGTTGGTATCAAATGTCTTTGTTTCTTTCAGATCTAAATGTTCCTGGTTCTTGGTATGGCAAGTGATGTTCTATAAAAACCTGGACATATTATGAGAGTCTGCATCCTACTTAAACTTTCTGTTTTAGCTGGCTTCCTCTGAAACTGCTCTAGTAGGGGCAGGAGGAGGAGAGCAGAGGCTGCCTCATTACTGCCAGGTATGGGTAGCAGTCCAAGTTCCCAGCCTGCCTCTGTTGATACCAGGGGTAAGGGCTCCTTGTTACTGATGGTTGAGAGTAAGAGTTCTGGCTCCCCCTAGGTCTCTACTGACACTGGTTGGGAGGGATATGAGTGTCTGATTTCTGTTCCCCAAATAGCATCCAGGGATCCCACAGAGAAAGGGGTGAGGGGAGCCTCTTTACTGCTGGGCGGTGTTGAAAGTCTTGACTCTCCACTGACACCACATCATTAGCGAGGGAGTTGGAGTACCTTGTTACAGCCTGCTGAGACTGGAAGTTTAGGCTCCCCGCTCAGCCCTGGCTGGTGGCACTGGGGATAAGGCCATAGGTTTTTCTGCAGTGTTCTTGAGAGTAGCACAGTTATTGTCTAGAAGTTTGTCCTGCTAGGCTTCTTGATTCTTTAGCTGAAGAGAGCAGGTTTTTTGTTGGGGCTTTTTCTGTCCACACTCACTGGCAGTCTTAGGTTGCCAGCTTCTTTAGCTCCAAGTCTGGCAGATATGAGGCAAAAAGAAAACTTGAGAACTCATCACTACATGATTCCTTGAATCCCCAAATCCTTGGCCAGTCTGCCTTCTCTCCACCTTTTGGTGTCTTCTCATGTTTGTCTTACATACGTCGTCCAGGGTTTGTACTTAGTTGTACTTAGCAGGAGAAATAAGAAAAGTACATCTATTTCACCTTCCCTGAAGTGAAAGTGGGCGTAAGTTTTATGATAAGGCGTTTGCTTGTGAGCTGTACATTTGTTTATAAGAGACCTTGGAACATGAACTCCCCCTTAATTAGGTCATGGTAAGCTATTTTCTTTTGAGTTATGAGGCCAAAAACAACTACACATGACAGAAGCAAGGAGAGGCTGACTCCTTTATCCTCAATCAACATCTGGAGAGTGTCTCTGAACGCCAGTCTCATGTAATTAGAATGTATTTTGTGAGTGATAGTATTGAATTCCTCGGCAAAACAAACATAGGACCTATAACACTTCTGTCTCTCCTGCCATGGTGTATGCATACTGTTTAGGCCAGCAGTTCTCAGCTAGGTAGGAGGTTGAGAGGGGAGCGATTGTGCCCTTCTCCCCAGGGTCTCATTTGGCGATTGTTACAACCTGGGGTGGCGGGGGGGGGGGAAGAGTATCATACTTTTGGCATCTAATGAGTAAAGGCCAAGGATAATTCTAAACATCCTACAATTCAAAGGACCGCCACCCACAGCGAAGAATTATCCAAACCAAAAAGTTAAGTGCTGAGGTTGAGAAACCCTGGTTTAGATGTTTGACCTATATTTGACAGCTAAGTTTAATCTTCAGGTATCCTGTGCACCTTTTGGTCTGTGTAATTGTTTGTGGTACCCTGAATGCTAGGTCTGGAAGGGCCTTGCCCAAGCTCTAAACAGAGACAGCACACCCTGCCAAGAAAGTCTTATCCTCTGGCTTTCCGTCCAGGGGCTGGCACAAGTCAAGATGTCTGAAGTGAAGAATCATATTCCTTGCTTATCATGGAGAGACCGTTGTTCATATAAACTTCAAATGCTTACAACAAATGCCCTTATTACTCTAATTTTAAGAATTTTTAAAATCAGAATTTCGACACCACTTTTACACTTGCATTTTCACTGCTCTCTCACATATCCAGCCACAGCCATTTCGACAAATTCCCCATGTTCCCTTCTCACCCTAATAAAACTTCTGAGACCACCTTCTTTCAAAATAATGCAGAACTCCATCTTCTGGCATTGCTGAGGTGGGGGGAGTGGAATTTAAAAAGCAAGAACGAAATCTAGCTACATTAAAAGTCAATATAATGGGAGGCAAGGCATTTGATACTGGCCAAGTATTGGAACAAGGGGCTAGTGGCCCCGACTCCTGGCCCTAATCCTCCAGGCCACTCTCCTGCACAAAACAACTCGGGTAACTAAAGCACCAAAACAGGATACACAACGGAAACGGAATACCAGGAAGAACAGAATTCACTGTCCTAGTGTTCATTCTTCATTTGATACTCCCCTTTCTTATATTCTATTCTGTTTGAACCCTTCAAAATGTGCTTGCTCTTATGGGCCCTTGCTCTAAAAGTGTGACCTTCCCCAACTGTACAGGACCTCTGAGCCAGTTTCTAACAGTTTATTCGTGTCAAGTCCCTTCACTATGTCACAGAACTCCTTCTCACAGGGCAGGCACTGAGGCCTTTGTTCTCTCTGTCCAGGCTCTCCAAGTGCACCCCTGATTCCTTTTTCTATCAGACCCACAGAAAACCTAATTAGAAATACCCATTTTGAGATGGCCTGAGCAGGCACACTCATCTTGTTCAGTAACCGTGGGGAGGTGTGGGTCTTAATTGAAAACATTTGTCCTATTCTGCCAACAAACATTAGGTCAAAGACGACACTGGGGACTCTTGTCCTTACATGTTTTTGTTTTCCTAATGGGCTTTAGGATCACGTTACTTAAATCACAGCCAAGAGTATATTCTGGGGCTGAAACTATTTTAAAGACATAATGTGGCAGCAGTATTCTGTGTACTAACAAGAGGTTTGGCACTGCAGCCAAGAACAGTAATAGAATCTTCTTCCCTCTTACTGTCATTCTCATTGCCATTCTCAAAAATCTCTCTCTCACTTTCTACCTCCCTCCTTCCCTCCCTCTCTTTCTGTGTGGGACTCAGATTCCCCTGTTATTATTTTTATTTTAAATGTCCGTGTCAGAGCAAGGGCTACATAATGAAGAAAATATCTTAAACCTCAACCCCATCTAGCTTCTCCCTGCTGGGGACACATCACAATCAACAAATAGATGGTCCTGGCATGGTTCCAGTCCACTCACTGGGGTGTGACTGGCTGGAGTGGAATCCCAGCTCTGCCATGCCTTAGCTGTAGGACAGTGAGCCAATCCTTTCAACCTCACTAAAGCTTGGAAGGCTCCTATGTAAAATGGGGCTCTTACTGTATCCACCTGATAGGGTTGTTCTTGGGACAAAAATGCACACAAAGCATGTCCCATAGTGCTTGGCTCACAAGAAACACTTATGATCTCTATAACTGGGAAGGCCTAGAACGTAAATTTTTAAAAGATATTTTAAGAGAATGGTTTTCACTAAAAATATTACACAACTCTTATGAATTCAACTTCTTAATAGTAGTACATTGATCATAGGACATAGATTCACAGTTAATAATGCTCAATGGTACAGAAAAAGACAGTTTTTTAATATGAAACATCGGTTATGTCCATACTAAATAATCGGGAAGACTTTGGAAGGTTATCAGTGATGTACTACTCAAGTTCTTGGGACCAGCTTTCAATTTCTTTCACTTTGAAAAGATGATACCCTCCCTTGATGGAAAACTCAAAACTCAAAGAACTTGATCAACACCGCATCATTTTGTCTAGCTGGTCTGGCTTGTAACACACCGTACTCACTGAAAGATTTTATGTACCTATTCTAAAGCTGCATTTACCCAGGGAAACACCACTCTCCTGGTTCACCTACTTCCATCTTAATGTCGTAATTCTGGCCGAGGACGCTCTGGATGAGCTCTTTGATGGTCTGGTCGGAGGCCAGCTGGGCCTCGGACTGCAGCGAGGCGATGATCTCCTCCATGGACGTCGGGGCCGCGCGCACGGGCTGCGGGGCCTGCGGGGCGGCCTCCCGCGCGTCGCTCGGCGCGTTGCTCTCGCGGTCGATTTTGGAAACCGGCCCCGAGGCCCCCCGCGGCTCGACGCCCAGGCCCTCGCGTAAGGAGCGGGTGCGAATCCTCACTCTCCTCTGCAGGCCGGCCGCCTCCGCGTCGCCGTCGTCGCTGGAGAGGGGGCTGCCCTTCCTCTCCCTGGCTCTGCGGGCCTCCGCGAGCGGAGCCGGCTCCCGGGCCGGGAGGAGGACCGGCTTGGAGCCCGCGGGTCGGGGGCTCCTCGGGCCCTGGCGCACCCGGGCCTTCCCACTGGGCGCAGGCGGCGGCACCAGGACCACGGGTCTGGACGTGCCGGCCATGGAAGCGATGACCGGCGGCTTCTCCTGGGGCGGGTGCCGCCGGAACGCCGAGCTCCGCAAGTAGAAGTCCTGGGGGCGGAACGGCCGGGTCTTTCCGGGAGCGGCCGCCTGGCTCGGGCCTGGGGGGAGCGCCGCGCCGCGGGGCGCCTGCTGCACGAGGGCCGCAGCGCGGGGCGCGGGGCCCTTGGCCCGAGGGGGGCCTGGTGGCTTGAGAGGGCCGGCGTGGGAAACGCTCCCCTTCTCCCCCTGCCAGGCCTGGAGGCCTGAGATGACTTCACCCACAGCCGGTTTGGAAGCCAACTTCTGCTTGAATTGATGAAAATCCTTTTTAGTCTCCTTGCGAACCTTCTCAAGCTCTTTAAAGATGTACGATTCTTCCTTGTATTTCAGTCCAAAACGCTTTGAAATTGTGGACATCTTGACTAATTTGTCCTGTGAAAATAACAATACATTAATATATATGTAACAATATTTTTATTGATAAATACAATTTCAGTTTTAAAAAGCTTCTCATGGTACACTTCCTGAGGCACGAGTTGGGTAGTATTCGTTTGTATCATTTTAAATCCAACTATTGGCCTTCCCACAGAAACAATGACAAATCTTTAAATCAGTAACTTTTTTATAGTGGGAGTTTCCGAAACCCCTATTGGATTTATTTTAACATTTGTTTAGACTGTAGCACCTCACTTCCAGGCAACCACTACACACAGGCGTAGAAAATCTGAAGTAACTCTAACGAGAATAAAGAAGAGGTCAGCTGTGGCCTGAATCCTACCTACAAACATGTTTTTCAATTCCTCACCGTTTTCCAAAAATATTAATTCATAGCCAGCAATTTTAAATTGAGAGATTTTTTTCACATAAAAATCCAGATTTGCAGTTTCTCTGGGGGAAAAAAAAAGGCTCTGGTAATGCAAGGGCCAAATCCCTACTCTTGTGGCAGGACTGCAATTTCCTTTCTTCTTCAGTTGGTCCCAGGTGTCCCCATCCCTTAGCAGCTTACTTGCCTCGATATGTCACCAGAGACAGAGCAGAGTGTATGAAGGGAGAGGGATGATCAGTCACAAGGTAGGCTGCAGCGAGATCATAAGGCCTTGAATGCCAAGTGTTTGTACTTTTTCTGTGGGCTACTGGAAACCATTCAAAAACTTTTCACAGAAAAGTGGCTTGATAGGATCTGGTGCTTGGGAGATACAAATATTAAGTGGGATAAAAAAATAAAGGGAATGAGAGCAAAGAAGAGCTTCCATAACTTGAGCCTAAGGCCTGGGTTTTGTAACAGAGGAGAGTGAAAACACCGCAGAAGGTAAAACTGATAGGATCTGGCCAATGATTAGGAATAAATGCGAGCAATTGAAGCTTCTTCATAAAATAGCTTTGAGTCACTTTGATGAAGTCTTGGTCATAACAAAGTGCATAATAGAGCTTTTGCTATTCTTTGAACTCTACTCTTAAAAATGGTTAAGATGGTAAATTTTATGTGTATTATCACAATTTTTAAAAAAAGGGTATGCTGTTCAACACGGCCAGCTCTCTATGATTATCAGTGAACTGTGAGACCTTGAGAGCTCTGAGATCATTACCAAAAGCCAGGCTAACAGGAAATATAAGCAGAGAAGGACTAAAGACAGACTCTTTGGCACTCTCACAGGTGGGAGGTGGGAGGGGCAAGAGTAGTCACAGAGGTGGGAACATGAGAAGTCAGTTCCACAGAAGCCAAGAGGAGGAGAGTGTCAAGAAATAAGGGTAAAATGATGAAAATAAAAGCAGAAAATAATGAATTAGAAAAACTAATTTATTTATTTCTTAGAAAACCCAAGGCCAAGGTTCATTGAAGATAAAATACAATAATAAAGTAGAAACACCTCTGGAATATCATCATTATTTGCAAATATGATTATCTATCTAGAAAATCTAAGCACTAAAGAACTATTTAGAATTATAACAGAGGTGTCTGAATAAAAATCTTTAATTTTACTGAAGGATTTAAAAGAAAGACTTGACTGAATAGACAGTTAATGTTCCTTAGCGAGAAGACCAAATGTTTTAATTTTATCATATCTTCCCAAAATTCTGTACTGGTTTATTGCCATCATAATCAAAATCTAAAAATGATATTTTAAAATTTGAAAAGAAATTCTGAATTCATTTGAAATAATAAACAGGGTAGATTAGCCAAAATTTTGAAAAAGAGAAATGAGGGAGCACTTGTCCAACAAGATAATTAAAACTCATACAGATAAAAGAACTAAAAATACTGTGGAGTCAACTGGAGACTGAGCAAAAGAATTAAGAGTAACATGGGTTATATTAGAAAAACAGCATTAAATTGGTGATAAAAGAATTATTCAATAAATTGTGCTGAGGCAATGGGTTGACTATGGGAGCAGGGGTGGGGAATGAGGGGAATTACCTCAGTTTATGCCACACACTAAAATAAAATGGATTTAAGACTTAAATGTGGAAAGAAATACTTTTCTTATGTTACTTTGCATTTCTTGCTTATCACCTGTCCATATTTCTTGGTTGAATTTCTTTGTATCAACTGATAAAAGTTATTTTTACAATTAGATTTCTTCATTTATCATGTAGTATGGGCAATATGAAGAAAACATCCTATTTAGCCTCTAAATATGGTCATACTGCTTTTAATCTCTAGAATATCCCCTGCTGGTTCTCAAATCCAAGACCCTGCTATATGACATCTGGGGATCAATAGGCTTTCTTTCTCTACCCAGTTCCACTACTGAATAGACCTTGAACAACTCAGTTCTATCTGTAACAAGATTTCATATTACAAAGTGAAAATAATAATCTGTTGCCCCTTTTCCCAGCCATAGTATATGAACATTAGAAATGACTTATAAAGCCCATAAGGAAGTTCTCTTATTTAAAAATTGCTGTATAATCCCCCCCCATAGTGTTTTGGCTGTTAATTGTTTGCACAGGTGGTAGTATGCTCACACTGACACCATCTGCATTTCTTCCTACAAAAGACTGAAAGGTAGTAACTGGAACAGAGCACAGACCAGAAACACATTAATACCTGATGGGAATCTGACTTGACTCTCTCAATTGCACTTCCCTTTTGTTTCTTAGTTCCTGCTTTGTATTCCTTCCCAGCTTGTCCCAGGCTTTTGGTTTGCTACTGAAGCTTAACAAGTTCATTGTTTAACACTTTTCAGTATATTCCCTCAAGCTCTTCATAGGAAAGTTGTTCTTTATATGTAAAAATGAAGCAATAGGAAATAGAACGTCTATTGTGTTTTCAAGGTAGGTGGTAGCTCAATGCTAAATGAGCCAGTCCTTCAAGTCCATCAAAGCTGGTGCCTTTATTACCCCCACCCACCTCTTAACACTACAAAGTGATTTTTAAGCATCCAGTCTCATAGCAAAATAATATGTTCTCTTTTTTTGGTAGCAACTTATTAAAAGAAAGAGACCAGTTCTGGTCTGGAGGTACTCAAGGAAAAATAATATAGCTGTCCTGAAAGGAGGAAGTATTAATCTACATACAGTGTCACACCTGCTGCTCACAATCTAGGTTGATTGTTTACCCTATACTTTAAAATGGGACAGGATGTGCTTGAAATCTTTGCAACCTGAGCAATAATTCCACTCTCCTCTTCCTTTCAATTATTGGAACTCTGTGCCTTTTCCTTCCTCCTCTACCAGAAGGTTCAATGTCTGAGCAGTGAGAAAGAAAGACCAAGAGCCAGTCTTCTCTCTTCCACAAGGTCTGGTCAAACAAAGAGGAAGCTCTCGGCCCAAAAGGGCTAAAGGTCCAGGGAGGGCTACCCATGTGAATTCTCCTGACTCTGAAACAGGTTGCTTACTGGTTCTTGCAGGTGTGGCTGTTCCGTCTGTTAGAACAGAAGATCCAAAACTGTGCTCTAGGCTGTAACCCAAGTGGAAATAAATAAAGCAGACCACCAGATGACCTGGTTCCAAGCTACAGAAACACCTGACACAGGGGAAGGACTCATATGTTAGGCCTAGCCCATTAGAGTATTACGTTGGGAATGGAGCCAAAGCCCCAGCTGGTTATATGAATTATTTGTCTTTGACCTCCTCCTATGTATAGTCACTGTCAATTCAGTGGGAAGAGTCACCCATTAAGGACAAGGTTTAGGTTCTCTTGGGCCTATGGCCAAATATCATCTCAATTCATTTCCTAAATTTCCTACCAACATCAACTTCCAATACACAGCACCACAGTTCCAAAAGAAACATGTAAGCCCAAGGACAGTCTATCTCATCTAGTAAAATCTTCAGTATTGCAAGGTAAATAAAAATATTCTGAAAACAGTGTTTTCTTTTGAAATATTAGTGGTAGAAACAAGCTCTGTTCACATACTTACAATTTACAAAAAAGTCTAAAAGGAAATATACAAACATTTTAATAATTTTGCTAAGAAATGGGATAATAGTAAGCTTGGTACATTCCAAGCTGGATAAAGTCAAAGAAAATCACATGTAAGTTGCTATAAACCAAAGACAAAGATAAAATACTGAAGGAAACAGAAAAACAATGCATTAATTATATGGCAATAATTCAAATGACCATGGACTTCCTAGCAAACACCACTGCAACCAAAGGACAGTGAAACAAGATTTGTAACATGTGAAAAGACAAAAAAACTGTCAACCCAGAATTAGATACCTAGCAAGCATAGTCTTTAAAAAAAAAAAATGAAGGCAAAATGAAGGCATACTCAGATGCAGAAAAACTAAGAGAATTACTCACCAGCAGATTAAAACTACAAGAAATGCTAAAGAAAGTTCTTCAGGCTGAAGGGAAATTATACCAGTGGAAAACCCAAATCTTCAGGAATGAATTAAGAAGATCAGAAATCGAAAACATCTGGGTAAGTTTAAAAAAAGCATATTTTCATTTTTTAATTGTATGAAAACTTACACCATTGTCTTGTTGGGTATTTGTATGCACAGATGTAATGCATATGACAGCACCTAACAAGACTGGAGTGGGGACAGGTAAGGAAACTACAGTTGTTAAGATTACCACATTTTTTGTAAACTAATTCATTATTAACTCCAGACTATGAAATGTTAAGGACATATACTGTAATTCCTAGAGAAACAATTTTTAAAATAGAAAAAGTTGTAATAAAAAGTCAATGGATAATAAAATGGAACTCTAAAATATTATTAAATCTTAGGAAATACTTTGGACTAAAAAATAATGAAAATACAATATGTGAGAATGTGTGGAGTACAGCTAAAGCTGTGATTAGAAGGAAAATTAGAGTTTAAATGCTTAAATCAAAAAGAAAAAAAGGCCTTAAGTCAATAACCTAAATTTCTACAATAAGAATCTAGAAAAAGAGTGAAATATACCCAAAGTAAATAGAAGGAATAAAGACATATATCACTCGAAAGGAAAACAAAAATACAGTTGAGACAATTAACAAAGCCAAGAGATGGTTCTTTAAAAAACATTAACAAAATTATTAAAACCCCTAGCTAGACTGTTCAAAAATAAAAGAGAACAAAAGTCACTAATATCAGGAATGATAAAAGGGTTTTCACGACAGATCCTAAAGATAGTAAAGGATAATAAGAGAATATGACAAATAACTTTATGTCAACAAATCCAGTAATTTAGATGAAATGCGTATATCTCTGAAAACTGCAACTTACCAAAATTAAAATAAGAAACAGAAAATCTAAATACTATATTAAATAAATGTATTAATTACCAAAAATCTTACCCCAAAGAAACTTCGAGGTCCAGATAATTCTCTTAAACACTCAAGAAAGAAATAATACTACCTTAAGAATATATTCTCAGAAAAAGAGGAAGGAATTCATTTTCTGAGATTTGCATTACCCTAATACCAAACCTGACAAAGACATCCTTTTCAAAAAGTAAAATTACATAGTAATATTCCTCATAAACATAGATGCAGAAATCTTTAATAAAATATTAGCATATCAAATGCAAAAATATTTTTTAAAAAGAAAAATACATCCTGATCATATAGAGTATATTCCAAGATTGAAAAATTGATTTAATATTTAAATATCAATATAATTCACAATATTAACAGGACATAGAAGAAAAAAATAAGATCATTTCAATAGTGGAAAATCACATGACAAAATCCAACACCCATTCATGATAAAAAATAAATAAATAACTGGCAAAACTATGAGTCACAGAGAACAACCTCAGTCTAAGGGCATTTTTTTTTAAAAAATGCAGTTAATGTTTTATTTTTGCTTTCCCCCTAAAACTGAAACTAGACAAAAATGCCTCGACTCTAACCACATCTATTCAACATTGTACTGGAGGTCCTAGCCATTGCAATATGACAGGGAAAAGAAATAAAAGGAATAAAGACCAAAAAGGAAGAAGTAAAACTGCCCCTATTATCAGATGACATGACTTTTAGGTTAAAAATCCCAAGGAACTCACAAAACAATTACTAACGCTAATGAATGAATTATTTAAGTTGTACAATACAAGGTTAATGTACAAAATCAATTGTATTTTTATATACTAGCATCAAACAATTGGAAAATAATATCCCCCAAAACATAAGTACTTAGGAATTAATCTAACAAAAGATGTCCAAAATCTCTACATTGAAAATTACCAAAAAATGCTAAGAGAAATTAAAGACCTACGTAAATTTAGGAACCATGTTTGAAAACTGGAAGACTCAATATTGTTAAAATGGTAATTCTCCCCAAATAGATCTACAGATTCCACACATTCCCAAACAAAATTATAACAGGCTTTTTTTTTTAACAGAAATTACAAGCTGATTCTAAAATGTATACAAAATTCGGATGACTTAAAATAACTAAAGAGATTTTTAAAAAGAAAAAAGACTTACTTACACTACACAATTTCAAAATTTACTGTTTACTACAGTAATCAAGGCAAAGATCCCAGCAAATCATTATTCTCAGTAAAGGAAGCCAGGCACAAAAGAGCATATATTGTATACTTTCATTTATACAAACTTAACAGAAAATGCAACCGATCCTATGGTGTTACACAGCAGATCAGTAGTTGGTTGGGGGCAGTAGGAGAGAGTGAGAACAGGGGTGGATAACAAAGGGGGCAGAGGAATGAAAAGGGCCTGTTAATTTGATTGCAGTAGTTGTTTCAAAAGTGTGTACATCTGTCAAAACTCAACTTGTACACCTGTACATTATACCAACCATACATTCTGTACATTTTATTGAAAATAAATTATACCTCTAAGAAGTTGTAAGTGGGAAAAAAATAATTTGTTAAGTTTCTACATTTGCATATTAAAAATAAAAAGAACTAATGAAACCCTTTAGATTCCTGCAGTGGTAGCTGCAACAGATTCTCAGTGGAGCTGTGGCTTTAATACCAAGTAACCCCTGAATTAAGCCTACAGTGTCCCACTGTCCACCAAAGAGTTTTAGGTCCACACTCAGGAAAACAGCTCCCTATTCCAAAATTAGACACACTGACCTCAGTGGGGGAGGTCACTTAACCGTGTTTAAGGTTTGCCCAAAACCACCAGCCCCTGTCAAGGGACAGTAGAAAAGGTCAAGGGGTTGGAATTAAATTTCCTCCACTGTGACCTTTCACCTTCCCCACTGCCCCTCTGACTCCTCCCCCTCTTTCGCTTTCCTAACCCTTATTCTTTTCCCCATAGCCTGGTCATCACAACATACCTATTATTTCCTCCCACCGGGTTTTCACTCCTCCCGGCTCCTCCTCACTCCGTGCTCCCAGCCCCAATTCCTTTTCCAACCTCAGCCCCATTCTCCGTCCTGATTTTCCCGGCGGTTAGAGGCCGAACGCAGGAGACAACTGCTCCGCCCAAATACCGCAGCCTCCCCTCCCCACACCTCCCAGACGAAAGTACCCGCGCCCCAGTCCGCGTCCTCCTCTCACCCGCCTCCCGGGACGCCTCTGCTCCCATTCAGGCGGCGGGGAAGTTGGCACCGTCGCCGACACCCGGCCAAGAGTCCAACCGGCCTTTCTGGGCTGAGCGGCCTGGTGGGCTCGCACCGGCTCTCGGGGACGCACCGACACGCCCCGTTGCCTAGCAACGAGCCGCATGCGCCCACCTCCGCCCGGGGCCCCCGCCCCCGGACTTGGCCCTCGCGGATTCATCCGCGCCGTGGGCTCCCACCTGGTGCGTTTCTACCTCCCCGTTTCCGGACCGCCTCGAATTCGGAGTCCAACTCGCTGAGAAGCCCCTCTTTCCAGGCGGTGTGGACCTTGGTCCCAAAGAGCCTCCTGAACTAATAATCTAGGTCGCCGTTTTCGCGCAGCTTAACTCAACTGCTTTTTTGGCACTCTTGGCTGTTCTTTCTACATTTAAATGAATAATCTTGCATCAGGAGATCTGAAGGTTTCCTTTCCTTTTTTTTTCTTTCTTTCATATGTTTTTAACTATATGTCCACAGTACATGCCAGTTAAGCGTACATCTCAGGAGGTTTTTGTCATGCTTTCCACCTAAAGCCCAACTGGTAAAGAAAATCTGGAAATCAAAAAAATGAGATTCAGACTTCTGGAGAGTTCCTATTAAAATAGCGAGTTCAACCATATTCAGAGTTACTGATGTCCAAGATAAGAAAGGTTTTAAGAAGCAAAAACTTGGCATTATCTATTAAAGTTGACTATCCACATACTCTATGACTCAGAAACTCCACTCCCAGCAGAAATGCAGACACATGTGTACCAAGAAATATGTACATCGATATTCATAGCAGGTTCATTCTTAAATGCTAAAAACTGGGGAAAACCCAAATATCCAACAAAAGTAGGATGCGTAAATTACGGTGTACTCTTAAATGCAGACTATACTTGAAGGAAATGAACAAACTTCATCCGTGGGGAATAACATAAATGAATCCCTAACAAAAGTCATGTTGAGCTAAGAAGCCAGATACAAAGGAGTACAAACTGTACCATCCTGTTCATATAAAGTTTAAAACCCACACCAGCAAAACTATAGTGCTTATGGATGCAAGCTCATTTGCTGTATTACAGATAAACACAAGAACGTGATAACCCCAGGAGTCAAGACAGTGGTCGTCTAGGGAGGGGGACCGGTGATACTGAGTGGGTGGCCAGTACAGGGGAGTCGGGAGGTGCTAGCACTGCTGTTTTTTAATCTTGGTGATGGCTTTTTGAGTTTTTCTTTGATAAACCATTGTTTCCCGTTTTGTTCATTTTTCTGTGTTATATTGCACCATTGTTTAAAAAGGCAAAAAGAAAAAGAAAAACCACTACAGGAAGTAATGTAGATAATAGTGCTTTGCTCAGTGCCTGGCACTTAGCAGGCCCTCAAATGTTTACTTTATATTCCTCTACTCTTTACCAACCTGCCTCTCCCCAAACACCCAAGCAACTAGTAAATGAGATCAGGAAAGTGTCAGATAAAACCTTCTGGAAATCCTCCATGAGATTCCAGGTGCTGGAAGGGAACAACATGCCTTGCAGAAGTTCAAGATAGAAGAATGCTCTGTGCTGTACAATTCCCTGGTGCTGGGCCTCAGAGTAGCCCACCTGTGGAGATGGATGCACTCAGGCATCCTCAGGAAGCCCCTGCTCTACACACATACAGAGTCAGGTAAGGGCACCTTGCTTTGCCACTTGGGCAAGTTGCTTCCCTCTCTGGGTTTCTGCAACCTCATTTGTAAAATGGAGATGACAGTCTTACCTCAAAGGTCTGTTGCTTTATCCCCAACAAAATGAGTTCAAAATGGTGGCTGATGCCCACAAAATGAGAAGCATTCTCCAGAGAAAGACCTGCCGCCCACAGCACACCTCACCACCCTGTGGGTGCTCAATGAGGACAGCTTCACTCTAAGTGGGAGAGCAGCCCCTTCAGACAGTAAGTAAGTTACTTTTCTGTGCTCATTAAAATAATAAGTAACCAAGTGCTTAGGAAGTGACTAATTGTTCTTGGTGCCATCCTGGGTGCTGCACAAAAATTAGATATAGGTCATGTTCCTAAACTTGGAAAATTTGAAAATTAATGTAACCTTGAAATATGTTTAACATACGGTCAGGAAACAATTTAAATGGTAAATAAATATTGTTGATCGATACTTTTATAATCAAAAATGGGAACTAAGCATTCAGATAGCCACATCATAGGATAATACAATCCATGAGCTAGATACTTAATAGTGTCTTCATTCCATAGATAAGGTATGAACGTTCAAAGAAATTAAAGATTTACCTTGGGTCCCCTAGCTAGTAATACCCGGTGCTAGGAACTCCATTCTAGGTCTCCTTTCATGAAAGAAAGAAAAGAAAAGAAACAGGGAAGGAGGAGGAAGAGGAATAGTAGTTAATTTTTGAGCTAAAGGCATTTCAAATTCATTATTGATATTGTAACACCTTCACATGAAAATGTTACTTTTGGTGCCATCTTAAAGAGAGAGAAACTAAACCCAAAAGGGCAACATAAAATCACTTGGGTGGAGGGTATAGCTCAAGTGATAAAGCACACGTTTAACATGCACAGGTCCTGAGTTTGATCCCCAGTACCTCCTCTTAAAATAAATAAATAAATCTAACTATCACCACCCCCCAAAATTACTCAAGCAATCTCTGAAACACTGACTTCCTCGAGTTTTTATTACTCTCACACCACCACCTACACCCATCCTCTTGTCATCTAGTTTTGGAGCCCTCTGTTGGTTCACTTCACAGCAAGTAAAGAAAGACCCAAAGTACCAGGCAGCTTCTGTACCTCCGAAGTATCCTCACAAAACAACTTCCAAACAAAGTTCTCCAAAGAGAATTCAAGGCCCCTCACAATCAGGGCCTGCCCAAAGGTCTAGCTATTTGGAAAATAAATAATTAAGGTATATCTTCACTTCATACTATGTACCAAAATAAATTTCAACTGGAAGAAAGATTTTATTATACCTAAGAGTAGCAGCTGTAGATGAAACTTGTAAGCATTGAAATATAAAAGCCAGAAACTATAAATAAAATTATTGATGTGTTTTTAAATCCATGCATTTAAAAATAAACAAAATTATAATGTAAATGAAAATTTGGTGAAAAACTCACAATATTTATGGCAGACATAGGATTAATGTTCTTCAAGTGAAAAATAGCTAAGCACTCAAAATTTTAAGTTGACTAAAGAAAATGTGAACAGGCAGTTTCCAAAAGAAGATATGTCTTTTGATTTAGAAATTTCACTTTTATTAACTTTTCCTAATCATAGAGATATGCAAAATTAACGATAATGATACTGAAGTATTGTTTTAATCATTAGAAGGCAAAACTATTGTCTCAGATTTAGTCTCCCTAAACCTTGGTACGCTGTTGGTGGGAATATAAATTGGTGCAGCCACTATAGAAGACAGTATGGAGGTTCCTTTAAAAACTAAAACTAGGCAAAACATTTTCTGACATAAATAGTAGCAATATTTTCTTCAGTCAGTCTCCCAAGGCAATAGAAATAGAAGCAAAAATAAATAAATGGGACCTAATCAAGCTTATACGCTTTTGCACAGCAAAGGAAACTATAAACAAAACAAAAAGACAACCTACAGGCTGGGAGAAAATATTTACAAATGATGTGACCCAACAAGGGCTTAATTTCCAAAATATACAAATAGCTCATACAACTCAAGAACAAAAAAAAACGAACCCAATCAAAACATAGACAGAAAACCTAAATAGACATTCCTCCAAAGAAGACATACAGATGGCCAATAGGCACATGAAAACTACTCAACATCACTAAATATTAGAGAAATGTAAATCAAAACTACAATGAGGGATCACTTCACACCTGTCAGAATGGACATCATCAAAAAGTTCACAAACGAAAAATGCTGGAGAGGGTGTGGAGAAAAGGGGACCCTCCTACACTGTTGGTGGAAATGCAGTTTGGTGCAGCCATTATGGAGGACAGTATGGAGGTTCCTTAAAAAACAAAAAAATAGACTTACCATATGATGCAGCAATCCCACTCCTGGGCATATATCCAGAGAAAACTCTAATTCTAAAACTAATTATAAAACTCTAATTCAAAAGATACATCCACCCCAATGTTCATAGCGGTACTGTGTACAATAGCCAAGACATGGAAGCAACCAAAATGTCCAATGGCTAGATAAAGAAAATGTGATATATATATGTACCGCAATACTACTATACACACACACACACACACACACACACACACACACACAGAGGAATATTACTCAGCTGTAAAAAAAAAGAGTGAAATAATACCATTTGCAGCAACATCAATGGACCTAGATAGAGATTATCATATTGAGGGAAGTAAGTCAGCCAAAAAGACAAATGTCATATGGTAACCACATATGTGGAATCTAAAAAATATGATACAAGTAAACTTATTTACAAACCAGAAATAGACTCACAGACATAGAAAACAAACTTATGGTTACCCAAGGGGAAAGGGGGGAGAAATAAATTTGGAATTTTGAATTAACAGATACACACTATATATATAAAATAGATAAACAGCAAGAACCTACTATATATAACAGGTAACTATGTTCAATATCTTATAATAACCTATAATGGAAAAGAATCTGAAAAAGAGTATATATTACATATGACTGAATCACTTTGCTGTACACCTGAAACATTGTAAATCAACTATACTTCAATAAAAAATAAAAGTTAAGAAAATACAAATGAACTTATTTACAAACCAGAAAGAGACTAACAGACACAGAAAGCAAACTTATAGTTACCAGTAAGGAAGAGGAAAGGATAAACTAGGAATATGGGATTAACAGATACACACCACTATATATAAAATAGATAAACAATAAGA